ATATTTAAAAATAATCAAAACATTACCAAGATTAAGCATTACAAAGTAAAATGACATTCATACTCTTATTCATTAAAAACAAAACAAAAAAAAACATAATTTTTTTTATTAGTTAAAAATAATTTTTATAGTTTGCATAAAATAGACAGTTTACAATCTAAGGTATTTATGATTAGACACATAGAGGGGGGAGTTGATGATGGATGAGGTAAGGGCGGTGATGAATGAGAAAAAGGGTGGGGTTTTCTTTTTCTTGAAATGGTAAAAGAATCACATACATAGCCTTCTTTTTAGAAGTTACCAATCGAGTCGAGTATTTTTATAATATTCATCCAAAAGTTACTCGAACTTTGTATTGAGGTTGTAGAAAGTGGGAGTGGTCTACGCATAGGGGTTGGGTTGTATGATATGATATATGAGGATGAGGGTTCCAAAAATTGGTCCTTCGAGGTCTTAAAACTCCCAACCCATAAATGCCTCAAAACAATACAAAGTTTGGGAGTCTTCCTTCCAAACATATCATATGATTGATTTCAAGATATTTAGAATTCCAAGTGGTTTCAAAGATTTTTTGGATTTAAAATTCCGATATAAACGTCGGATTTAGAAGTTTTATGGGGTTGTTGGTATTTCGCATAATTTTATGTGTAATAATATTTTAAAATATATTCAAAATATTTGTTTTATTATATAATTAATTAACAAAAATATGATTAATTGTTTTTATAAAAAAATAAATTCAATTTCATTTCAAATCCTAAAGTTCAACTTCAAATATACCAAAGATACAAATTCTTTTTACGAAATCAAAATTCCTTAAAATGAATTTATCAAACCAAACGCATCCTTAATGATTATGATTTAATTTTGTGGATATTTACCTCTTTCCTATAATAGATTCTCTCAATAAAATAATAAATTAAATAGTTAAATTGGAAACTTTATTCATAGCCGGAAAAACAAATGCAAATTAGTATTGAAAAAACGAAAATCATAAATCAAATAAAAATGTCGGAAGGGG